GGAAGGATACCAGAATTGACAAACTAGAAAAACAGAAGACGTAAAAGCATTTTGGATAGGAATTCTGGATTCTAGGAAAAGTTGGGTTAAATTCTGGCTATTCTGGCTGAATGACATAAGGGGAACTCCTTAATCCTTTGAGTTCTAGTTTTCTCACCTGCAAAATAGACTCTCGACAGTCTGTCTCTACTTGTCATGCTGGAGAATTAAGAGAGCTGTCATTTAAAACTTTTCACATAATGTATAGCAAATGAAAATGTATATTTTTAGTAGTGTACTAGTAGTATTTGTTTGGTTTGGTTGTAGAAAGGTGCTGGGGATTGTGACAGAGACAGATGCCTGCCACTACTAAAAGTAAAATCTTTGATGTGATGGGGTGTGTATGTGTGTGAATTGTTCACTACATATTAGTAAGAGAACACAAGTATAACTGTGCTGACTTGGCCTTTTGGGAAATCAGCCACCACTTGTAATGGAGCCGGACCTTAGTATTTACTAGCTGTGGGATCTCAGAAAGGCAACCATCTGGGTATCTTATTTGTAAACTCCTATCTTCAAATGAACCGTGACTAAGAAAACAATTCTGAAGCACTTCTGCAATTGTTTGATAACCATGCTAATGCAGACCATTAAGGGATTTTTTTGTACAGCAGGGTTAACCAAGTTGAAGCAATATAGGTTAGATATGTTAACTCAGGTTGACATTGACTTTATTCCAGGAGCTGGGCTGGGCACTTGTTAGTTTCAGTTGAAGTCCATAGAATATCCCTGTCTAGGCCACTCTTACCAAAGGCAATTTTTAGATCGTAGAACTGAGATTTAAAGGGATTTTATAACTTGACAACAGTTGGAGGATAGAGTCTGTATCTGAATTTAAGTCTCTGACCCTAAATCCCAATCATTATCCCCTACATCAATTCTGGACTTGAAAAGATACATTGGCCCCACGCCTCAGTTGGGCTTCTTATTGTTGAATGAATGAATTGGGTCCAGTTGGGCTCAGTTCATGTAGTTCTTTCTGTGTTACCTTAAAGTAACCTGACACTACTCAGAAGAATGAGAATGTGTCTTTAATGAGAAGAACTTGAGATGAGTCTGATGCTCTTTAACTTGATTTGTTTGTCTGACCAAAAATTGGGATGGCATAAGGCCTGGAAGCATTTGATTCCTTTTGTGTGAGGCTCCCTTAAGTTAGGTAACAGATACAGTAGCAACTAAGGACAAGAGGTGGTTTGTTCTTCAGAATGGATATTTGATGATGGAAGACGTTTCCAAAGGGTCAAAGCAAGTATTGTGTCTGCCTTTTTTGTTCACGTGGTTGATTCTTTTAGGAATATTAGGAATTTGAAAATCAAAGATTTCCGAGGGGTGAATGTCCATGGTGCTATCTATATTTCTCAATGTTGCATTTTGTATTTTCAATAGCAAGTGAATTGATTCTATCTTTGACTTGGGAAATATTTAAAAATGGATCTCACAGTCTGTCTGCCTGTTTAAGAGATCACTTGATTGGGAACATAGTTCTACTCAATATTAACAATCATTGTTTTTGAGTGTTGACTATGTGCTGGATATTATTCTAACCATATTATATTTAATAAATTAAATTCTTATAACAATTCAAGGAGGTAAGTATTAATATTACTCTCATTGTACATATGGAAAAAGTTGAAGGTTACCCAACTAAAAAGAGATGGAACCCAAAGTCCCTATTATTTTCCACTGTGATATGCCAACTCTCAATGTAGTGAAAGAGCAAGGTAATTGATCCACCAGATCCATGAGAGCTAGCTGTATTCTACATCTTAAGGTTAAACTTGGGAGACTTGCATAAGTGACAGCCTCAGATTTTTATCAGAAGCCTGTTTAGGAATGGCAGGAGTTGGAAGAATGATCCTGGAAGTATCTTTTTTATTATGTTCAATGTATAGTGGACTTAGACAGCAACAACAAATAGTATATGGGGAT